TTATTATTATTTACCTGTTATTTTCCGTTAAAGGGTCTGTGTCCACTTTGCACGGATCAGGAGTCGATAGACAAAATAGAAAACGTCCGTCATCAGTTAGACATGATAGCACGCTCGGCCCATAGAGTTTCTTGCGCCGCTGAAACACTCGGAGCAGTGTACCAGGAGCATAGAATCTCTCGAGCAATCTTCATAGGTGACAAGTATTTGCAGTTATTGCGATCCAGATGCGAAAATCTGGCAGCAGATATCGCAGAAGTCAAGTAATTCCTCAAAACTTCCTTTTGTTTATTTATCTCATTGTGTTTCTCGCAATATTCGTAAATTAAATTGATATTCTTCCCATGCTGAAAAATAAAATATAATCGTAATTAATTGTCAGAAATTATCTGCCATAAAAAATAATCTTCTTTCTTTTCAAGGCGATTTAATAATATTTAGAAATTATAATTTTTCAGACAAATATTGTTGAAGAACAATATCATGATAGAAGAAACTACTGGAGAGGTGGGAGATGATTTACCTAAACTTAGATACAGAAATGGATTACCCTGCAATAATCGAACAATGGTTTGAAAATTAGTAATGTATTAGACAAGATACAATATATTGCGCTGGTATATGCGCGAAATTGTAGATTTATCAACAGAATATGTTCGCTATTAATTAATTCTTTTTTAACTAATTTTATTTACAGATGACTAGGAGAAGAGCGAGCATCGCTACAATTTCGCGACCCTTGAATGCACAGGACATAAAGGCAATACTTTTCGTCATACTATTATATCTTCTATGTAAAAATTACAAGAAAAAGCTACAGTTAAATAGAGAAATTTTTTCTTTTTTTAAATTCAGGAAACTCCTAGGCAACGTAACTCTGTTTCCGGAAGAGTTAACTTAAGACGGCCATCGTTATGCTTCGAAACGCAGAGGTGGGAAAACGAAAAATTAAACCGAACGGAGTTTGTACTATTTTCTTATTCCGCTGACTAACAATAATAAAATATATTTAAAACGATAAGAAAAATAAATGAAATGATGTTTCCATATTTTAGCAGCACAAATAGTGTCGTGGAATTACGTGACATTTTTGAGCACACTGAGCCGCGGAGAAATTCCATTGAAGAAAATAACAATCTCTTAAGAAACGACCAAAGTAATAACATTAGTAGTATGAATTGTAACATAGCCAGTAATACAAGGGATAAAGATCGATCAATTATCAAACAAAATTCTTTCTTGGAATCAAGTGTAACTAAAACTGTTGAAAAGCAGATAAAATCATGGTAATTACCCATTTAATAAGAAATGGTATATAATTAAATAAAAAATAAATACAGAAACGTATTATTAGTTCATATTAAATATCTAAAATTATAATGAAATATAAGAAAGCGGACTTTTCAAAAAATACTTAACGTTTGTTAAACGTTTTGTTTTCAGTATACGAACAACTGAGCCTTTACGAATAACTAGAAATATCGAAACATGGCGGTCGATATTGTGGTTTACATTTATCTTTTTTCTCGGATTTTATGCCAAACAAATTACTTCAACATTTGTTACATAATATATTAAATGGTTTTAATAGTAAGATTTAGCGTTTTTGTGTTATGGTGTTGCAGTATTAAATATATATTTCCCCGTGTAATAACACTTACAAGGAATAATAAAAGACGGGATTTACAAATATATCGTATTTAATATTCTTTTCTTTCCGTATATTACAAATTGTCCACTGTTCCAATGCACACGAGCGAATTATTTTTATTGTAATAACGTAAAGAAAGGATGCTCGAGCAATAAGTTGAGAATATTTGTGGTGATTCTGTTTCAGGTACTAGACTTGATGAATTGCTGTAAAACAGTACAATTAAAATATAGTTTCAATATTAAAAATAAATATCTTTTCAATTTGTAGTATTGAAAATTACCTATTAACAATTTTAACATGATCATGTGTAGGCCATAAACGAATAGTGCCATCCAAACTTCCACTGGCAATGTATTGACCATCACAACTCCAGTCTAAATTCATAATCGTGTCTTCATGGCCTTTAAGTTCGGTTAACAATGCGTTAGTTGATAAATCCCAAATAGAAATAGATTTGTCATCGCCTAGAATAAAGTCTCAATTAATAAATTACAAAATACATATTATTTTACGAAATATTATTATAAACTGTCTTACCTGCAGCTGCCAAATATTTCCCATCTGGACTAAAAGCTAAACTATAAATCGTTGACTGCGCGCCTATATATACCCTTAATAAATTTCCGTCGTCCTTATCCCATAATCTCACAGTCTTATCAGCAGACCCAGTCGCTAAATATCGAGCGTTTGGGTGAAATTTGACACACTACAAAATAATATAATATATAACAAAATTAATGCAAATTTTAAATTTATTTTTTACATATTTTTTTTAAGTATATGAATCCTTGAATATATAAAAGGGAATATTTTTTTTATATATTTGAAATACATACATTTATATCTAAAAAGTGACCGGCAAATATACGTAATGGAAATATCCTATCTAAAGACCATAATTTGGCAGTTCTGTCATGAGAACCAGTTGCTACATATAGATTAAATACACTAAGATCCATACACCATATAGGATAATTATGACCACTGTAACAAATTACATTTTAGTTTTAGTGTATCATAGTCAATTTAAATACGTACCTATAAATTGCGGCACATGTGTAATCATTAAGTCTCCATGCCCTCATATCTTTATCACTAGATACAGAAAGTAATATATCCGATTCTGGAATAAACCTTAAATCATGTACAATATCGGTATGTCCTCTAAGTATCACTGCCCCTCCTTCAATCCTTAAGATGAAATACAAAATTGTATAATATTATATTGTTCTATGTACTTAATACACTGAAATTTAAAAAGATTTTGAAATTATAGGAACTTACATTTCATCTGACGTATCGTAAAATTTATGTAAAAATGGAATATCAGAGGCAAATGTGAAGGAAGGTTCTTCATACTTTGGCTTAATTAATACTGTTTCATTTATACCCCACAGCCTAATCTCTGTAGTACTAAATCCTACTGCTAATTTATCCATATTGGGTGGAATGGCACCACTACTTGCACTATAAAGATAAATAAATAAATTTTATATGACTTCTGCAATTTTCTAATTATTACTACATTGACCTTCAACGAAATTAATTTTTTAGATAAATAAATTCCTATATATGTAATTACTTTTCAACAGCATTATTTACTGCAAATATTCGTAGAGGTTGATGAGCATTATTTCGAATTAATCTTATAGCCTCTTGTAATTCTCTCATTTCACGGTCAGCTCCAGTACCTGATGGTTGTTCTACATATCCATTAATCCCCACCTCAGAACGTATACTTACATCTTCACATCCTTCTGTGTCTGTTTCAGGCACATCCATTTTCTTAATTATTGTTACATGAGTGTTTATTATCTAAAAATAAAATAATTATTAAATTATTATATTTTATATTATATATATAACAAAAAATAAAATAAATAAATAATTATTTTGTAATCAATATATAACATTTTTTATAATATTACCTGCATTAATATTATATGACCATGTTTTGAGAGAAATTGTTGAAGACATAAGTGAGCAACATCTGACATATCCACTTTATATTTTCTAGTTCTAAATGAATTAACTAAAGGTCTTAATTCAATATCTTGTACTGAAAATACACTGGATAGTTCTTCTAAAAAATCTTTCTCTGTTTCACTGTTGAATTCATTTTGATGTGATTTTAGAAATTGAATTGCTGCTTGCCTGTTACCAGTATGTAGCATCTCTAAATACAAGTGACAAAATACAGGGTATAGAAGCCCTTTTAATTCCATTTTTAATTTATCATCGAGTACAATATTTACCCACATCTTCAACCTAGAGAAAAAAATATATTTTAAAAATGAAATCTCTCAGTAAAGATTATATATAATTAATTTAATATACTGAAACAGATATAACAAAAATTTAAAGAGATATACCGTTGATACGCTTGGTCTGCAGCAGTAACATCAATGCTAATGGCACTAAAAATGATTGAATTATCTTGGGAAGTGGCAGAAGCAGCAGTTGCATTCAGAGTCATTTCATCACTTGTTCGGCAATGTATTTGATTGCCTTTACAAAAAATGTCGCTAGTCTATAATAGATATTTGAAAATAACAAGAGGTTATGTCAATTTAATAGTTGTAATTCAACTTCAAAAAACATTTTTTTAGTAAAAATAAGAACGTAACCTGCCTGATAATGACGTCGTTTTAAATATGATTCAATTGTAGCATTAATTAATTCACTCTTTAAACGTTTCATCTTTTTGAGATTATACGTTGGTTATGTTCAAATGAAAATATTTAACCATAAGAAAAACGTCAAATAATAAAAATCATTGAAAGTACGTAGTTTTAACAATTACTTAAAAGACCAATTGAATGCAAATAATATTCATATTTTGTCAACAATTAACAGAACAGACATCGAGTTTGAATAACTGCTATTATTATGTATGTTTCCATTAATGAAGTGAATTAAAACTTGAATAAACATTCAATTAGTAATGTTCGGCATATTGTTTTCATTACTAATTCCTCTTAAACTTTCATACTTTATTCAACCTTATTTATAACATATAGATCTATAAACAAATAATTGCCGCTCGCCAGTCATTCTGAAAGTCAAAAACATATCTTTCCCCTAGAAAAGTACTTCTCATGCTTGAATTATTTGGGCACGTGTTTCTAATTTATGCATAAATATAAAACAATTAAATTTTCCATTAGCATTTAATATCAAATTGGATTGCTATATTTCTTATTCATAAATTCAAATATTTTGTCAACAAATTTAAACATAAGACTTTTGAAATATTGAATAGCCATTAATACAATATAGGGACATGTCGGACTTTAGTAATTTTAAGTAGGGGTAGTTTACTTACAACTAGAAATACTAATTGTTATAAAAAGTTATAAATAATTGAAATATTTATTTATAAAAATCTAATTTTACATAATGTAAATGTTGTTTTATAAGATCTTCTTGGCCTGTGAATGGCACAATAATATTTAAGTCCACTGCTGACCTAAAATACATATATACATTGTAAAAGCTGATAATATAATAATATCGGCACCGGTACGAAAAAGGTATACAATATTCATATTTATACTGCTTTCATTAGCAATATTAATGTATTTTTTTTTTAATATATGTAATATCTATATTATATTACTTATTGAACGTAATAGCATTATATTATCTTTTATAATAAAATTATTACATAAACGTATTTCTGGTAATGAAAACTTACAAATCAGAACAGAGCAAGTTTAAATCCTGAGGTATAAAGTATCTCATATGCGGAGACAAATCAACAAAAGGATCATTATCGTTTTCAAAATTGTCAAATTCTTTTAACCTGCAAAATATAAAAAGGTAATATAAATGTTACTTTTATTTAAATAAAAGTAGTAACTATAAAATTTGTACTAACCGTACAATAAAATGTTTAGGCTCTTGTAATGTCGATTTTCCGATATTACGTTTAGATAAATTAAATACTGTAGGAAATACTGCGTCACGGAAATCACCAATATTTATGAAACTATACTGTTCTAAATTTTTAACAGATAAACTATTGTTAAATCTTTGTGTGATTAATGCACGCATTATTGGAGTATCTACCCAAACAACGCGGCATTCTTTATGGAGCATTTCTGCAAACCAATCAAAAGCACCGACCTCGGCTACATAATTCCATTGCATGCCATCATACCAATCGTGTACCTGTAAGGTATATAGATATTACAATTAATCAATGTTACATTGTAATAGAAAATCACATCTTCAATTGTAGTAAATTATATCTTTGTAGTCTTTCTTAAACTGTATATTATTGTAAATAACTTACAACACACCGGCAAACATGGCTAAGTAGTCCGCGAAAATCTGCCATCAATGCCATAAACGATTCAGAACCCTTAGGATATAGCAATATAATATCTGTATTTTTAACATTGGCGTCTTTAAATTTTTCTTTTTTTTTATATTTAGTTTCATTGGTTTTAAGAACATTTCCATTGAAAATATTTCTATGAAAGCTTTTTCCTTGCATACTATAAATATGTATGATATAGATGAGATACATAATTCCAATAATTGTAAATATAGTTAATGTAATAATAGTAATTGGCAGGTACGAATAAGAAGTTGTATCAGAATTAATTTTAGTTGGTACACCAAAAGTTGAAATAGTAATATCTTGACAACCTGTAAATAAAACATCCATTATATTATACTACACAGCAATAAAAAAGTTATTATACATCTAAATTTAAACTGAGAAATATTGACTATCTTAAGCAACAAATTAAGAAAGATATATGAACATAGTAATATCAGTTTACTTACTTTGATACCAAGAACATATGTCAGGTGGTTCCCATAAAGTGTATTCTTGACATCTTATATCACGATATAAAAATATTGAAACACAATAATTTACCTTTTGTGAAATTTCAGTTTGAAATGTCAAATTTCTATTATATATTTCATTTGTTAACTAATAGTGAAATAACAAATTTTAATTACATAACAGTATACTAGAGTATAACTGAGAAATATCAAACATAAGACTTACCAAAGTTGTATTAAAGTTATAATTTTTATCTCCTAAATAACTGTCCTAAAAATGATATATAAATTTTATAAAAATTTAGTTTACTTACATTATCAAATTCTAACTTAACATATACACAGGAGTCTAAATATTTCACAATAATATGAAACATCATCAACCTAGTCATATTATATATTGTTAAAATTTTACCAAAACATCGAAGCTCCAAACAGCATTAGGAAATTCTTTCTTATTAAAAGGACAGCTTTCATTTCCAGATGAATCATACCAAAGTTTTCCCAACCTTATTACTCCAGCTGTAACCATAGGTTTATAAAGGAGTACCTCAAGAAGTCCCATTTTTCTAAATTTATCAAATTTTCAAAATTTAAATAAAATTCTAATATTTAAGAAAATATGACATAAAAATATTATATAACTATTTTCTTAATAGATATTGTACAAATTAATCAATCTTTACTTCACAATATAAACTTACTTATCAATATTATAGTCATATGTACATTCAAATATTGGTGTCATGATTTCTGTTCGTTTATATTTAGTTTTTATGAATTTATTATGTTTTAACATCTTTACATCCTTATTAAAAGAAAATTGAACAGAATAACATGCGGTAAATATATATGGAACAAAAATTCCAATAGTGTTCTAAAAAACAAAGAATAGATGTTAAATCTTCCGACAAATTATTCATTTTATACAATGTCAAAATTAAAAGTTATTACCTGATACTGTTTATCTGAAACAAACCATATGGTACTCCTAGTATGAGTTTCACTTCCATAAGAGTTGTGAAATTTATAATTGACACACTTTTCTTCACTAGTTGATGCATTAGTTAACAAAGTTAATACATATTTACATATACTTTTTGGTGGTTTAAGATTAATCTGTATAATAGCTGTGAAACATTAAATATGATTTAAAAATTTTATAATGTAACATAAATAGATTTTATTTATACTTAAAATGTTATTATTATTACATATATATATACTTTAGTCTAATTATTTGTTCTGAAAATCTAGATATAAATATATATTATTATTTACCAGGAGATTCAGAAGCTTCATTTTTATTTTCTATTATTGAAAAATTAACATCAGTGGAAATATCTTCGCTTGTACAATATCTTATAGATGAGATATTATTATTCAAGTTATTTGTTAATATTTTACAACCATCAGCATCACAGATATACTGTAAGTAAAAAAATTTTTTTTAATAAAATAAAGTAAATATAGGGCTCTATTTTTACAAGCGATATTGATAAATGAGTGAATATACAGGCATAAAAATAAATATCAAATATTACATTTAATTACTTATTGTACCTATACTTACTTTACGTTCATTTGTGTATGGAAAAGATGAATATGTAACTGCAATCAGGAACGCAGTTATCATATAACCTTTAAGCATAACTGAACTATGCTTTTACAGAATCTATATCGTATTCAAAATTTGTATACTTTATAATCAAATTTTTAAATTTCCTATGAATTTTTTGTGTTTATTTAGAAAAAAGGATTCTCACAATCTTTCCAATTAAAAAAATTGACACACATTATCTCCGACTGTTGATACTATTTTAATACGTATTTTTAAATGGAACATACTTATTCAATGTCACATCCATATGTGTAACAGAAAAATGTTGTAACGGAGTAGCGATAACAATCTTTAAATATAAAGCGAATTTGCTTGTATGTGTATGCACATGTATGTATACACATGCGCGTTGCTCAAGCAGCGCCTTTTAAATTCGGTATCTATATATACATATACTGATTAAGATATTGGTTACAAAAAATAATATCTAAACTGTTAATATTTGGAAAAATATAAGAAATTTACAAAGAAAAAAATATAAGAAAGTTATAAAAGAATTGTAGACAAACTTACCTATTCTTAAAAGTTACAATGCATATAATCAAGAGAGGAGAAAGTACAGAAGAGAAACAAAAAGAAAAGTATTTAAAGTATTTGTAGAACTCGTAATCGTTATTTTAATTTTTCAATAATTTTACTGATTTTTATAAACGATTATTACATATATTTTGATTTTTTCGCAATGCAAATTAATTTTATATAAGTAAAGTATACATAAAAATCAAATTATAATGTGAAGTAAATGAGTTAGAAGCATATTAAATTCCGATATACAGTCGTATCTCACTTCACCATACCATATATCTATATGTACGTAAGCGTGCGTATCTGACAACGCAGTTGTCTTGAAATTATATACATTTACTAATACTCATGGTCATAATTCTTAATAAATATTACATAATTGTATTTTTATATGTAATAAACATTTGTTTATTACACAAAACGAAATAGTAATATTATCCAAAAAGTTACAACTTGAAGAATTTAAAAAGCATGCTTCAGTTGTATGCTCTATAGTCATTTGTTTTTTTTTTTTTAGGATGAATAATAACGCGATAAACTTATAAAACTTATAGAATGTACGAAGTGATCAAAAAACAAATTATTGCAAACAGAATTATCTGTATATACCTTTCACAGCCTATCTTACTGCAAATTAATTTTTAATTCTTTTTAAAAAACGACATGTCGATACTGCTGAGCAAACAAACCTGTTATTACTCATTTATGCATGAAGTATAGCATTAATGTCCTGTTAGTAAAACTTACATACTATAATAAAAATGATAGAAAACGAGAGGTTTTAATACTAACAAGAAGGATATTTACCGAACATAACTGCTTTTTAAAATCGAGCTAAACCCTCATTCGCATTATTAGAATCGTTCGGCGAACGATTCAAGACATATTCTTTTAAGACAGAAATCTTTTGTCAGATTTAAAAACTTCTTCTTACGAGGAAATAAATCCTATTTGATCTGTACTACATACGAAGAATTATTAAACATTTTTAAGCTAGCAATATAAACCGTTTCCTTGATTTTCGATTACATATTTCTGTAAATATTGCGCAGCTTTCTCACTTAAACCAAGATTAGGTAAGTCTTTTTCAAATTGTTCGATCGTTCCAGCACCAGCAATGTAACCATTCAATTTAGCAGCTAAAGGTGAATTTCGAAGAACCTCGTCGCTTGTGAGACCAGTAGTTTCGATTAACCATGGATGATTTCGAAGTCGATACTTTTGATGATAACTGAAAAAAATAAAAACGAATCAATCATTTAAAAATATTGAATATCACTTATTTAAATATTTTAATTCGTTGTGGACGAATCTAAAATTTTTAAGTAAATATGAACGATATATTTAGCCTAATAAAAATCAACGTAAAAGATCGAATCAAATAATATTACATCATTAATAGATGGAACTTTCTCTCTTTTTCTATCATATAACAATGTTAATTAAAGTAATGTATCGATCCAAAATCATTTCCTTTTGTACTTCTCTACGAAAAAGATTGTTATAGTTATAATGCATAATTCTTACTCCTCAGCCGGGTAGAACTTTTCGAATTTTCTTATCTCGGTGAGAATTAGGTTTGTACGCTTCCGCTGTTCTTGTTCACGTGACTTTTCAGCTAGCAACTTTTGTTCTTCATCATGATACAAGACCAGTGACATATACTGGAACCAATAGAAAAAAAATAATCATCTTTTAATAATTAATAAGATTAAAAATTAAATACTTATAATAAAAATCATTATACACATTTACCTGTCTCTTGATCTTTGTAGTGAGACCATATTCATGATTCTGCCAAAATAAAGCGAGTAATTGTGTATATGATATTACGTCTGGATTATATTCGATATCGACGACTTCCGTATGATCTCCACTGTAAACGAGAATAGAATAGATTACGGTATTACAGGTCATAAATACATTAGGTATTAGAGGTATTATCTGATATATAGCGATTAATAAATTTGCGATAAAAAAGAAGCATGTAGAAGGTATTAATATTTGTACTAGGAAAATTAATAAAAATACATGTATGTAAGTGTTATTTTGTAGATACATATCTTTATTGTATATTTTTAAAAAATGATATTAGATAAACTATTATTCAAGAACAAATTTTGTACATACCTAAAAAAAAAGTTTTAGGCATACTTGGTTATTCTTAGAGAAAGAAAATGTAAATAGTATAAGAACATACATATTTCTATAAATTGGTGATTCCTTTTGTCCTCCGGCATAGCCAACGCAAGTCCTAATTACACCGGGTAAAACGCCAAAAAGACAATCGCCAGCCCAAAAGCATCCCATTCCGAATGTTGCACGTTTTGCTTGGATTTCTTTGAATTGTCCTGGCATCTTGTTCGACTATCGTCATCAACACGTGCCAAATCACGTAGAAGGTCATAAAAGAGAGTACTTGATACAATTACAAAAATGCTAACGGAAATTGAGTATGCTAGATTATGATATCAACGCAAGGGATATAAGCGAAAATCGTTCGATTCACGTGCCGTAATGATGTTTTGATTTAATCCGATAAAGAAACCTGAAACCTGCTAAGTAACGGTTAAGCTGAGGATGACTAGTGGCAGAATAGTATCAGTTTTCTAGCGAAGATTTTATCAAACAAAATCATTTTTCTTTTATGTAAAGCACAAAAATTCTTAATTCTTCCTCGATATTAGTAGAATTTTAGAAATTTAAACATTGGAAATGTTTTTAACGGGTGTTAGTGTTAGACCTAATAAAATGCTTATGAATATGAGTAAAATTAATTCTAAGTATTTTAGTATCGACACCTGTTTGGAGATTTCGTTTGTTTAAAAAGTTATTTTGACCTTGTATTTTTATGCTTAGAAACAGTCCTTTTTTACGACACCCGTTGTGTATAAATTACAGATCTGATGCTTGTGTCAGATGCGTGTACAAAAAAAGCGTGAAGAAATTATACAGGGTGAACCACATAACTTGATCACCTTCATCGTTTCAGTTAATGAAATTACTTTGAAATGTATTACTCCGTAATAACATACTTTAAAATCCAAAATTCTTTTCAATATTTAAACACGCAATACTACTATTTTTTCTTACGATAAAATTTACATTAATTAATTTGTTTAATTTTATTTTCAAATGTATGCAAAAATGAATATATTTTCGAATCCTGTAACTATTTCAATATATCAGAATTAGAAGTATAAAAATAGAGTACATACTTGAAAATATATTGATGTATCTTACAAGATGCTTAAAATGCTATTCATTGACTTCAATATACTTGAAGCTATTGTAGTTTGATCTCATGAACACGGTAACATGTAATCAAAGATGGATCTATTGTGTGATTATGTACCATCATTAAATATTATTCATCACCAAAAAATTTTTTTAAATCTTACTATTTCATAAAAAAAAAGAAAATTATGTAAATGGTAAATTAGAACTTCCTACTTTTTCAATTTTTTAAGGAAATATTTTTGGAACTGTTTTACTTCCCATCAATATATAATCAAACAAAAATACCTATAGAAACAAAGTTCTGAAAATTAGCCAAGTTATGTGACTTTTTGAAATAAAGAGTAAAGCATAAACTAATATATAACAGCTTGTCTATAAGTGACAAGCAGTTCAGATGGTTTAGTTACATGATTGATTAACAATGAATGATTGAATTGATTGAAATTTATGACATAACAACTTTTATTGATGACAGATTAAAAAGATTAATAAAAATAATCAAAATTTGTCCAAATAATAAAATATTGTTAATCATTTAAAGTAATTCAATTTGCTGACTTATTTACTTTCTTAATTACTGAATTTTCTGTTTTAATTATTATTTTCTATTCTAATATTTATTAATAAAATCTACTTTTTGAAAAATTCATGTGATATTTTAAGCAGTATAAATATGTAACATCTTTTCTGTTTAGTAGAAGTGTTATAAAAATACATTAAAGTTAAAATAAGCTAATTTTAAATGATATTAAAAAATTATTTACCTTATTTTACGATAAAATAGAAAAGATTAAAAATATAAACGAAAAAGTAAAGTAAACGAGAAAGTAAAGATTCACTCCAAATTCAACGAACGACACTCCGTTAATGACTGAAAAGAACAAGAAACTACCGCGTGCTTCAGCAGCTCTACTTTTTATCACAGTATCCCCCCTCCTTCTCTTTTCCCCACTCTTCAATACGAACTACCACCACTCTTTTCTCGAAATACATATTTCGTTAGTAAGTAGCTCTCCTTTAAATCTCAATTCAATATTCAATTTTAATAATCCGATATTGCTGCCTTAGCATTTCTGCTTACATTTTCTACTATTGTGTTGGTTATTTGGTAATAAAAATTGCATTTGTGACGCCACAGAGTATGTACATATATACTTCCTAACGGTAAAGACTGGTAAAGGTTATTCGTATATTATATTATAATTTTAATGTTTAAATGGTGCTGTGCATTTCATTCATACATAAAATTTACAAATTGTGTAGTAAAATATCTGTAAGTATTTTTTTACAAATCGGATACATATAATCATCAGCCTAAAACTAAAAGGTGCGTGTTTTAAAATACCGGATCAAAGAACGTGGCTAAAAATATCGATATTAACCTCACTCGCGAGAGATACTGTGCCATTAATCGATGTCAAATCTCATTGTATATAGGGTATGTGTTAATTGTCAATTTAACTGGAGTTCAGTAAGTTATTCGCCTGAGTTGCATCAGAAAATTGAAGCCACATGTGTCCGTTACATTAGATAACAATTGCTGGACCGACTGATGTAATTATTGTATCCTGCACACTAAGCTCAGTAACTCGTCATCCACAGCTTCGATCATGCAGAGAGGTTATTATCGCGTCTTTTATTTCCTGTGTATATGATGTTTGCAGTGATACATAATATCTGATATAATTTATTCATTTACAAATGTTTATTGGAACATGACAGTATTGGGAAGTTTGGCATTTTCATAACGCCAAATATAGTACAGGCGCATAGCTTGGACATGCATCATTCCACAATCGTCGAAAAGTCGGATTTAACAATATACTATATCTAATCAAAGATAACTTGATTGAAAAATATAGTAAAATAGTGCAAATTAATGATGACATACCAAATAGCGATAGTTGATTGCGATGAAACTCCTGCGTAGTAAGAGGGTTAAATTTGGTGTCACCATCTTTGATAGAAATATCTATTGATAAGTGGTCCAAAAGAATCATTCATTGATTAATATTGTTAAAGACAATAGTCGAAGTTAAATTGTTTTGCAACAATTGAATTGGAATCTTTGCAACTTTGTTCGAATATTTGTTCACTTCGATAAAATGTAAATGTTTCATGCGATTCGAAATATTGATTTGAAAAATGTTTAACGTAATGAAAATGCAATGGATTTTATGCATTTATACTTATGCCTTTCTTCGTAGCTTTCGTTAAGCTAGGTCTTCCTTGAAAATTTAATCAGCTTCGATTAATGTGAGCACGTGATTATCACGTTCAACGATGGAGGATGTCAGGGACATTTCCAAATATATTTAAAATGAAAAGTGATATTTTACCGTGCATAGAATTAATTTATTAAGTTGGTATAATATAGAAACATTATGTAATTATAGCAAAAATGTCTGTTTCATTCTTTACTGATTCATACATGAGTATATTTATTACATACGAAAATAATAAAAGTGTGAATGAAATATGAATGTAATCAAAATTCAATTTCCATTTCGTAAATCCGATCATTAAAGAAATGCATATATAAAATTTGTATAAATGGAAACAGTACGGAAATGAATATATGTCGGAGATGAAACCATCGGAACCTTTCTTTAGAATGTTCAGAAAAACCCAATACCCTAATCCAGACATTTACGACAACGACATTTAAACAATAAACATGAGTCACCGAACGTACCCACGGTCACGGGAGGGACGTGTAATAAAGGAAGTAAGAAATAGTTGTGCAGGTCTCCTCAAAAACAGAGATTGACCAGAGGAGTGGGAAAAGGAATATATAAGGGCAGTTCCACTTGGAGTTTTTGGAGTTCATGCAGATAAGTTTGACTTGTACGTGCAGTTATACGTGTATCATATCGCATTCGTCATCCCGTGTACCGTGGATTCGTTATCGAACCTGAATTCGTTGTCATCAACATCTCGACTATCTTATTGCCGCTATTACTTACAGCCTCTTGTAGTGCTCACATTTGTACTAATAAACATCAGCTACATCCGCGATGGTAAATTTGAGTGAAGGTTCATCGAACGTCCAAAATTCCAACCTTAATCCGACATATAAATAATGTTAAGATGTAAATCCTCATTGAAATGTAAAAGTATGCAATGCATATTTATAGGATGTAAAATTAATGTTGATTGAATATCGTATAATTCAAGATATATTTCTAAGAAAAAATACAGGATATATACTATTGCGGAATAACGGCACACATCAAAATTTACAAATAAAAGTATTCGTAGAAATATGTATATCTAAATGAATATAAAAAATATTATTTATAATTAGCATTTTTATAAAAAACACGAGAAATATCTACGATATACGATATCATACATAGTAGCCGCAAAAATGAGTTCTTGCGCAATATACAATTCAATAATTATTGTTTGAAATATACATTATTTTTACGCTGTAATAAATAAAATTCTGTACATATTCGAAACTTAACTATAAATTTAGTCAATTGTATCGCAGTTACTTAAATATTCGCTTAAGTACAATACAGATTAGAAATCTATACGATCCCGTTATCTCGAATTTGTAAGCGCATCATCTGTTCAAGACCCCACGCGATTTCCTTTCAAAATCGTACGCGAACAGCTTATAAAATTAATCAAGGTCTAAGAAACTATTAGACGGTACTTAAAATACAAGATCGAAACAGATGTTAGTTTGCACCATATCTAAATAAAAGAATCTCGTTTGGTACAATTATCTACGGTTTTCTATGGAAGAGATACATAGATTTATAAGTACATGTTGACGAAGGTACTAAAGTTGCGGGGAACAAGAATAAAATGGAATTAAATGATTTTTAAAGAAGGTGATGAGTAGACTGCGGATTTTTATATTTTTATAGATACACTTAAAGACATTGAATTTAAATAGAAATCTGTTTCATTTATCACATATTATAATAAATACTCTACTTTGGATATTTTATGTTTTCGCATATTATATGCATTGTGTGCATTTTTGTACTTTTAGATTTTACAAAAATGCATAAAAATTCGCAATCTAGGTAGTGGTAAGGAAGAAAGTAATTAAAAATAATTACATGACAGTACAGCAACTTTTTTCAGAATGATTATCACCGACAATGTCGCTCGTATTTCCGGTGAATCTCTGAAAATCCCTGCCAGTGTTGAGTTCAGAATTGGAGATAGGCGACCCGGGAATACCATTTCCATTAGCATCTATCGATCCACCGGATATATGCCGATTTTGTGCCCTTTGTTTCTTCAAATCCGATAATGATTTGACAAAAACTACCGAGACGTGTATGTTGATCTTGCCGTTGGTGTCGCTGTCTGACGCGTAGATCGGCTGCTGATTACTGATCGGCGAGTCGGGCCCTGTCACTATCGAGGCAAACATGTAAATCCAATGCTATTTCTTGTTCCTTCTGGTTCACGTGAAATTTGCTTTCCTTCCCTCTCATCCCATTCCACCTTGTATTACCCTCCACCTAATTCCCCTTTTTATACACTGAAATAGCACTTCAAAAGAAACTCGACTAGTATGAAAATTAGCAGCCATGCGCTAAGCGGTACATGCTTCAGCAATAAGCATTAGAAACATTGCATGACGGAGCACCAAAAACATGTTCTCTTTATTCTACATAAAAACACCTTTATCCTTCGTCTCCTACCTTCTATCGTATTTATTATCATGTTCTCAGACTTCTTTTTTAGGAGAAAGAAGAAAATTTTTAACAACATATCGGTTTCTTCTTTACCCCGATAAAAAGTGGATAATAAGTTACTTTTGTTTATTAGTTTATCACGTTGTAAACTAAGTCTTTAGGTTTTAAAATATGAATGCATTTATACAAATTTTTGTATTGTAAAACACAAAAGATTTAGTTTACAATTCAATATTCGTATGCATTAAACATAATATTTGTATACAGAAATATGTATGTACATACAAAGCAAATAATAGTTGAATTCTCTGGAACACTAAAATGACTTAACATTTTTCTAGACATATGCATTAACGCTATTTTTAGCTGTGTCAATGTCCAAACATATCTTATTATAATAATGTAATAAGATTTGTCAAATCAATCATTTCTTAAACTAATACCTTCATTTATGCAATAAAATTTATTAAAATATAATAGTATGCAATCTAAATATTACAATAACATCATAAATTTTATTATTTTTAAAAGATAACAAGTGTGCTATATGATATTAAACATCAACATTTTATATCAACATCTTTATAGTAATAATCAACAATTTAAATATGTATCAAAATATTCAAATAAATTTTTAATTGTATAACTTTTTACTTTTAAATTAAGACAAATTTTATGCTTGTTAATGTTACATTTTATCAGTATGATTGATTTGATGTGGAATCTATTATAGATTCCTATTAGCAATAATACGAAACATAATGTCGTGACACAATTGACCTCGTAACGACTTTATCATTTAACGATAAAACTAAAAGACGGGAAGACACATCGCGTGAGTACGTAACTAACATTGAATGAATACAGTTAATCATTAGCAGAACTAATATGTTAGGTATGTGAGAAAGTTCTATTTCTATTTTTCTTAACATTATTTTTTATTGTTGGCATATAAGTTTTTTATGTCATTAGGCAAACATTAAATTATAGAACATGTACACGTAAAATCGTAAATATTAAAATGCTTTGTTATCAGAACAAAATCAATAAGAAGCAAACAAAACAAGAGCTATATATATATATATATATATATATATATATATATAAATAAATAAATAAATATATATATATATATTTATTTATATCTATAAATAGCAGTAGCTGTCGTCTATTTGCTAAACATGACAATTTACTGTTATAATGCGAGTAAATAAAGAATATGTCAGAACTTTTCACAAATCTAATATATATGTATGTATATTACAGCAAATCGATATGTTTAATGTTTTAATTCACAAACTTTCTATGATATGTAAGTATTATGTGGAGTGCTCATTGAATATTGATTACTGATGCATTACAATATAGATTCAAGTTTAGTTAATCTGTTTGGTAAAATATGAAATACTAGTAATATTACCAAATGAAGCTACATTTGCAATACTTTATTTACTTCACAAAGTAATTTTTTGGGAAACTGTTACAGTAAAAGTCTTCATCCTACTTGTATATATATAGGGAGAGTATTAAGTTATTTGTGTACTATGAATGTGCGTTTAAGCTTAGAACATTTTAAGTAGTAAATATAAAAACAACATTACAAGAGCTTGATTTTTGACTGTTAAACTTATTATAATGTCTCTTCACACATAACGACCAATAAGCTTTGCCAAATGCTAACATATTATTTGCAAAGAAGTACTGAAAATTAAGCCAATGCAATTTAGCCCTTGCCACAAAAAGTTTAATTCGGAGAAATATTTTTATGCTATAATGATATTTTAAAAAGAGAAAAACATATTATATATACACAGCACATAAAAATAATTCAACTGTTACAAGAGAAAATTTCGAACGTACAATCACGTAAGAAGTTAAAAAATAATACATCGCTGTGTTGAAAAATACGTTTAAAGAAATAAGAAAGTGATATAGAAAACTGACCTCGCAATTATTCAGGAACACGACGCAGTAGTAACAGAAAACAGAAAGGGCTGATAAATGATCAATGCTTAATACTTTTGTTAACCAATTTATAGTAAAAATTACTGTTCCAATCTTTATACTAACATAATAGCGATCATTTATAATTTTTAACTGCCAGTCTTTAATTCATTTTTTGGATTATCAAAAATTCGTTAAAGAATATTTTGCTTTGTTTTAAACATAATAAGCGCATGATAAATATAAAGTTACAATAACTATACAACGTTAACAAGATCGAGTTATGCGACCAAACGCACAGTTTAAATGGACATGACACGTAACGTATTTCTTTTTTTGCACAAATCTTATGCATAAAACTACCATTTACCAGAGGATTCTACTTAACCATAACCAGTGCGAGTTTAACATGATTTGGAATATACCTGATTCTTTATCGACGTCCTCGTGAAGGAAAGATTCATTATCCTTCCCCTCAGGAGCTTTACGTGCAGCTGTTGGTGGTACATTAGAATCTGTTTCACTACTTGTATTTTCTCGTACGTTGGCTTCGTTTTCCGATTGTGGAACATTCGTAGTCGAACCGCCAACGTATGTCTGAAACATAATTTCTCTGTTGTTTGATTTTAATTGTTTCTAACATTACATAATCAACAACAAATATTATTTTTCTTTGTTACCTGTTGCGCTTGTAATCTAAGACGAGCTTCTTCTTGAGCATCTTTTTTTGTAGTCAAAACTTTATCCCTTATCGAAGTTCTTCTTACGCTTTGAGTACGTGTATTTATACTTTGAGATCTACGTACCCGTCTTCCCTGTGCTTCTCGCAATCGTTTACTTTCTTGTTCTGTTTTAAGTTCTACTATCCTTTCTCTAATTTCCGGATCTTCGCAGATATCTATAAAATTAAATTTAACAATTGATTAATATTTCATACAAAAATATAATCTCCAAAATTTTATTAGCAAAAATATTTTTACCAGCTGGCGTTTCATCGTGTTTATTCTTTGCATTTAGATCAGCTCCATTTTGTACTAGTAACTCAAGAACTTCCAACTAAAAAGATAAAATGAATGTAGAAAACGGGTTTAATTTGAATAAGTTAGTTAATACAAAAAACGTAATTCAGATCGTACATGGCCCCAGCAAGCAGCTGCATGAACTGGTTGCCATTTGTCATTATCTTCGACATCAGTTGAAACATGTTGGTCTAGAAGAAATTCAACTACCCTTAAATAACCATTTGCAGCTGCAATGTGAAGCTAAAATTGAAAAAAGAAAAAGATTATTGACAATTACTTTTTAAAATTAATAGACTTAATAAATTGGTATACATACAGGTGTAGCACCTTGATGATCTTTATATTCTAGATCACCACCTATAGAAGCTATATTTTGTAAATCTCGTAACATTTGAACTTCTATTGAAGCCCTAGTTTCATCTATTAATTCTTGAGTAACACCTCGTCTTGCCATTTCTCCTACAGTTATATAAACAAATTAAAATCAAAATATCATTCCTGTATATTCTTTGTAATCTTGCATTTTTTAAGTAATTTTTAATTACAGATATGTATTTTAAGGATTTTTACCTTCAATGCAATCTAATGTTTTTTCATCTTCACAAATATCATAAGGCATATTACCATCAGCATTCACAGCTAATAAATTGGCACCTCTAGCAATGAGATTTTTAACTAAGTGTAAGTGGCCACATGTAGCAGCAGCATGTAATGGTGTCCATTTTTCACTATCTTCCGCATTAACATTTGCTCCAAACTCGATTAGTAATTTCATCATTTCTTCATTGTCATCTATACAACACTGATGTAAAGCTGTCAGTCCATCTTCATTAGTTGAATCTGGATTTACTCCTTTTTTCAAGAGTCGCCTCACTAAAGCATATGCTACTTCTTAATATGCCGACTGATATACTCAGTTATATTAAAAGTAATTGCAAATAATAATATTATAAAAATTATGTCAGATTACCTTCGTCAATGTCATTTCTTGCTGCGGCTTCTAATAGCATTACACTGTCACTAAAATATATGTGACGTTTGTTACTTGTATGTCTGGTTTGATGTCGTAGCCATTCTTTTTCACGTTGACGCCATACTTTCAATTGTTGGAGTCTTCTGTGACGAGCCAAATGCAATCTCTCTTGTGTTGTTAACCTTTCTACATGTACCATTTCTGCTACTAAATCTGAATGTTCCATGGCTATATTTTTGTAATTTTCACAGCTGTATTTACCTACTCAAAAGAAACAGATTATATTTTGTTTTGTATGTATTATTTAGTATTATAATGTGTTAGTGTCTTCAATACACATGAAACAGAACTCTTATCAGGAAGACTATGATAAAACGGAATTTGAAGCCAACGAGATTACCTTTACACTTATAAAACCATGAATTCATTTCAAGGTATTTTAAAATTTTGTGACATACATTAGATATCATTTTGTTATAATTTAAGTTTTGCTCTTTCAGATTCAAAATCTGTGTGAAATTAACTGCTTTTTCATTCGGTATTTTATTGTGAATGATATCATACTTTTATCCAAAACTTTGTCATATTTATCAACTACTTAGGTAAGTAAATGTACATTATTTACACAAATGTTCCAAAATACTTATTTGACTCATCATATAATCAGTAACAATAAGTTAACGTTGCTTTGTAGTTTCTTCTTAAAGCAAAATATGCTTCCATTACGCATTAACGCAATAAAAAATTCACATGAAATTATGTTTTCTATATAAAACTAAAAAATCAATAAAACAATTAGCAACAAAATTAATGAAAAATTATAAGATTATCCGTAATTAAATTATCACAAAATAAAAATGTACAATTTAATCTTATCTTACTCTATACATGATATAGTGTAATTTTTCTATGATAAATTATATAATTAGAAGATTTCAACAGGTAACGAAAATAACATATGCAAAGGTGTTATATTGGGTGGCATTGTTTTCTCATTCTTTATTTCTTGTTTCTTATTTCAACGTATGGAAAAAAACAATATATTCCTCGTATAAAAGACAAAATAGGTGAAATAGAAGAATACAGGTGAAGAGTGGGAGAAAAAAATTGAATCAGTGATGAATAAAATATTGATGGAACTGACTTAGAAACGGAAATGTGAGTGTGTATGCCATTTCATGATTGTAACTCGAGAGTTAATGCAGGTGAAAGAAATCTGTTCTAAGACTGGGGGGTGTCAAATCGCGGTATCTACTCACATCGGCAAGTGATCGCTTGCTCGTTCACTTATTCGTTCGCGATCCAGTGGAATGCGGAAGTTTACTCGTTCGTTCGTTCATTCGTTCGTCTTTTGTTTCTTTTTTCGTTCGGTTCGGAAAGCGGGCGAGATGAAGGTAGGAAATTTTAGTATCTTGCCAAGTTGAACTGAAAAGTGGAGCTGAATCTCGCGAGTACACGACGTAGCGGAGAGAGAGAAAGTCACCGTGTTGATTGATCAAAACGTAACATAATTTTTACGGTCTCTCTGATGCGACGATTCCACTAAATGAAATTGAACCGAAGAGGGTGGACGAACCTCTTGCTTTTAATTTCACGAAAATCACGTCGCGTTTGATCTCGTCGCGGCGCCGTGCACGCGAGGAAACGCGTACCTGTCAGTCGCCATTTTTAAACTACCTGTAGAAAACCATTCGCGCGTTCCCTTCACCGCGCGCTAACTTTGTCTTTTTTCAAATTATGTATCTCTTACGCACGACCAGTCTCTATGCGTACTCACGCTATATGCTGTGTATTCATTTTATTTTCTACAGATTATGGTATATTTGTAACACATATCGAATCAGAAGATCGTGGAACTTAGTGCTTAGCATCTTCTTGGAAATTCAAATATCGCTATTAATTTATGACGTACACAATGTATGTATGTACATTGTTATCTTACCGTTCTTTTTTGGGTATAATCAAATTAATTTATTGAGTCATTGAATCTCAGAATTTAACTTATCTCAACGATTCATTAGTACATTCTTATTTGTTGAATTATGTAAGAATATCTATTAGTCGATAAATTTTGAGAAAGATTCTGTTATAATTGATGTGAATTGTATACTTATCTAACCTTTTTTCTATCTCTCATTTTTTGTGTAAGTAAATAAGTATATTACAAATTTAATTATTAAATAAAGTAAAGTAACAAAGGACAGTGTCTTCCTTATATACATAATTATTCATATTTCATTATTTTATGATGTGAATTGTATACTTATCTAACCTTTTTTCTATCTCTCATTTTTTGTGTAAGTAAATAAGTATATTACAAATTTAATTATTAAATAAAATAAAGTAACAAAGGACAGTGTCTTCCTTATATACATAATTATTCATATTTTATTAGCACGAAGATTTTTAATAAAATGAGTAATTAGAAAATTGATTTGTTTTTCATTCATTTTAATACTCCCGCCATGAAAACAAGATCTGTAGTCATCGCGCATAAAGTATAGGATCTTATACTTTGTTTACGGTACTAGTAGAAATCTCAGTTTCACATCAGTAAAGTTAAAAGTGATATGGATTGAAAATAATTCTATGTCATTATTTTATTATTATTAATATATTTAATATATTAACAGCGGTGCTTGATAATGAAACGTAAACTTTCTTCTTCGTTGACATTGAAAGAAAGTCAACCTTCCTCGATGTTATATATGAAAGAAACAAAGCAAGAATCAAATATTCCTTTAGCTGTCGTCAGTGGATTCTTTGCAACTATCGGAAGTCTACTTGGTAAACTCGCTGGTGGTGCCGATGTGGATTCCATTGTAAGTGATGTTCTTCGCAACCATTAGTTGCATAAAGAGTATTTAATAATCTTGTGTATAAATTAAATTCCACTATTTTTATTCAAAACTAATTATGTATTTCTTAATAAGTTCGGATTGCTGCTTAAAGGAGTACTTTTAATACTAATGATAATAAGCAACACTGTGGGCTACGCATTTTTCGTAAAAGCACTCAATGCTAGCGGATCTTCTTTACCATGTACAATAACTAGCGCCGCCACCAGTTATATTTGCTCGGTATTTTACTTATTCTTCTATCGATATATATATATATATACACACTAAAACGAGAACACAAAGAAAAGTGAATGCATATTTAGATCTGATTTATTTTTTCTTAAAGGCTCTTACGGGTTCCTTGATTTTTAACGAATCAACGTCACTTACTTGGTGGTGCGGTATATCTTTCGTTATTCTGGGTTTATTGGTCATCTCTTGTACGCAATCCAAAGACCATCATATACCTTCCCTGAAGAGATCGAAGAGCGAATAATTTCCGAAAATGATTTGGAAATCTTTTTCTGCTACTTTCTTAATATTATGCTGTGTCTACATGTCATCTACATTGTAATAATATTATTATCTATTTTAGTATGTATAAATTGAATAAATAAATAAAAAATTATACTGAGACCTTGTTTAAGGGAATTAAAAGACCTCTTTTCTTTTCGCTTTTTTTTCGTACCAGTTAATTCTTTTTCTTGTTAAACTGTTATTCGTTTCTAAATCTTCGAAACCTTATTTCAGCTTTGTAAAATTTATTTCATTATTTGTCATACGATATTTGTAATTGCCCATGATTTGCGCTACTTAACCGAGCATATAAAGATTAACACAGGCTTATCGTCTTTGGTTTTCATTTCTCTTTAAAAAAAAAGATAATGGAAAATACGAAAAGAACGACCGAGGAAACTGGCATGAGAAAAGACCTGAAGCGTACTTGTTTAGAGACTAAAGTGGATCTCCGTGCTTGTAATAGTACTGGATAAGAAACGCGAGGGAAAAAAGAATAGAAGATTCTTCCGCCCTATTTCCTACTACACGTAGACTATATAAATTCCTTTTTGATTGTATTGAATCAGAAGTTCTTTTTAATCTAACAATAACGTTTTGCCTCTTTCATTTCTTTATACCTTTTTGTTAAAATTTTAATATTAAGCAACTAAAATTAACATCAAAATTAAAAGAAAAATTTCAAAGCTGATCGTATTTACGAAACTAATCGTAAGTACAAAAAAATACTAGATTTGAAATTCTAACTAAAAAATCTTTAAAATTTCGATCTAAGAAAAGTTAATTAATTCATTAAATTGATTAAATAACGAGCCTTTATTTATACTGTTTGGGAAGTTGACGTAGGTTAGTAACGAAGCATCCTACTAGTCCAGGGTTACTAGCATTTCGTTACATAGGTAGTGTACCCTAGTTAAAGGTATATGTGTACCGAACTGTCCAAGAAGTTTCAGTCGACCAGGTTTTTACTTTGTGGGGCAGGGTCGTGGTTCATAGGTATATCATGCAGTTGAAAAGGAGGGTATTAGAAGGAGAACGTAAAAGAGGAGCCAGAGGATGGCTTTATCGAGCGGCGGCTGCGCCACAGTGTTGTTCTCTACACTGCCGCCTACCGGTTGTCAGTCATTCCCAACAGTCCAAAATATGATAGTTTCTCTCTTTTCATCTTTTTTAATAAATATTTTCTTACTACTGCTCTGCTACACATTTGCGTAACAATAAACACTTGTCCATAATCTTCCATACCATTAAGTGTATAACTTTGAACGGTAAATCTTGAAAATTTGTATGATCTATTAACCGCTCGAGCTGCTTTAAACACTCGACTCGTGTAATTGCACTCCTCAATAGATTAAATTATTATTTGAATCATCAACATCGACACCTCTTTTATTTTCATTGAATTTACAAGAGTACATTGTAACAATCGTCTATCACTGTAAGCTACGGTCATTGTTCACTTAACGCTCTTGTAATAATCAAACATTAATCAAATAATTAGCATTTAATCGTCTCAGATTTTCGAGATTATCCGTTTCAAGTGTTTTTATACATGTTTTAATTCATCACCCTTACCGTGGTAGGCCTTCCGTTATTCAACGAGTTCTACTGCCCCGTGCACGCGCCTTACTTTCCCCTCCACAACACTTTTATCCCCACCACCGATAGTTCTCCCTCTCGGTGACGGGTGCCCCTAGATTCTAGCAACGCTTCTCGCAACTGAGACAACGGGACAGTTTCGATACGGCGCACCCTCCTGCCAATCGAGTCGGATACCGAATAGTACGCATAGCGAGCCTGTGCGTTACGCGGTTCGCGTATCTATCCATTAGATCGGCTGCTTTACTGCTTGTCTACGTGCGCGTACACAACCGTGTTAATTAGCAAAGGTGCCTTTACGTGAAAGTGTCGACAGGTAGAGTGAATTATGGTTCTCGTACGATCAATCGGTCCACCTATTGTAAAATTTTTCACACTCATTACACACTGTAATCTTTCACGGTTATCTTTCCTGTTTCCCTTGCTTTTTCTTTCGCTTTTCACTCGTTCATAATGAACGGCTTTCGATTCAGCCAACGAGTTACAATAACCAGAAGATCAATTAACGCGGAAGCCACAATTTGCAAGGCGAACAAAGTAAATACGACGAGGATCTTAATTAATTCGATTGCTCTGGGTCTCATGTGGTAATTTCGAGACGTGCTAAAAGAATCGAATGTGCAAAAATAAAATTGCAGTTGTCAGTTATACCCCCTACGTGATTCCTTAATGCACGAAAGAACGATGCTTATGTTTCTGCTTGTTCTCGTTATGCATGACATTTTGAAGTATGACAACTGAAACAAACAACATTATGTTTGTGAATTAAGTCGATGCTATGCACGAAAATTGTCCAATTTCATTGAAATGATACGATTGAGTTTGCATTGAAAAATAACGATACGAGTTCATTCATTTTAGTTCATTAAGTTTTATATGTAAAAGAATTGCTTAATATATTTCATTTGAATTACAATATTTAACAAACGGAAGCCTTGAATATTCAATAATTTACGTGTATTATAATAGTTGATTTTCCATGATTATAATTACAAGCGTAAAAAAAATAACATGCATTTGATACAATGGAAAATTCAATTCTATTTTGTGTAAGCGTTACTATCGTTATATAATATTTATGAAAGGATAAAAATCATAGTAGAAACGACATTTTATTATCGCGAGAAACATTTAGTCCTATCCGTGGCCATTTAGGTCATCGCGATGAAAAAGTCGCGCGATTTTATTTCATCCATCCTTTTTTAGTCCCTCAGTCCGGTTGCTCTTAATTCTTCACTTGAATTTATTGTCCCGTCAAATTTGACTTCTGGCAGGATCAGCACACGCAAGACCAGCTTCGATTTTGTATTTGGCAGGATTCCAACTAATACGGCAAAACCAAAGAAGCGAAAACTTTTTAATTTATCGCCGTGGGGCAAATAACGATTGTGTCCGTTAGTCGCGTTTCATTCTCCTTGTTCTACAAATGCATCGTGCATTTAAATTGTCAGAGAAAATCGGCCAAAAAATATAGATTTCATCCGGCACCAAATGAAACAAAAGCTCGCCTTTAAATTGCACCGTTTTCCTAGCGAATGATAACTTGATCGCTTGCAACGAGTTCCTTTTCGTTCTGCTATGTTTATTATGCTTCTGCTACCATTGAATCAGAGCAAATAAGATATCAACATATAAACGATTGTTCGATCGAAGATAAATAATATTATTTTCATTATCTTTCCGCATTATAATTCGCTTATAAATTTCTATCGCTTTTATCGATAATAATCCATTTTTCACGAGCGTAACACGTGAAAGTTTGTCGTCGATCGTTGTTAGAAATTTCTACGAAGTCACGATCGTCGGAAATTGCACGCTCGAGTCGTTCTTTGACGCGGTGTAGTGGAATAAATACGTTGTAAATGCTTGCATAGATAGGTCCCGGTGGAAAAAACAGAAAAGTACAGAGAAACGCATATGCTATGACACACACACTTCAAAAGGGGTTTCGTGACAATCTGCTTGATCTTCGGTTACGAGCAAGATTTATGGCACCAAAGTGTTCCATTTTTTTTTTTCGTTTTTATCTTCTCCCTGCATTTTTTCGTATGAATAATGAACGAATGTAGGTGGAAGATAATGAACGTGAAATAACGCGGTTCTCATTATGTGACAGTGTTTTACTGTAATTCGCACGAGAGACTGCGAGCTTATATTTTAGTAGCTTTTTATAATCCGTACAAAGTCCAATGAAACATTATCGAATAAATGCAAAGGAAGAGGAAAAAAAAGAAGGAAACAGGGCTATTAAAATAATAAAATAATAAAAGAAATATAGAATTGTTTGAAATACGAATTAGATTACGATTTTTTAGTGAAAAGAATATCGCAAGAATGCTGGTGCGAACATACCGCATTATGAGCATCATCCCCGACGACTTCGAAGGTTTCAATTAGGCGACGTAATCAAGTCAATCAGAACTTGTAACCAGCTTCGAGAACCTTCAACGATGATGCTGAAGGAGGGACGCGACGGCGGCCACGAACGATATTGTTGTCCAACAATAAGATCATTGGGGAGTGAGCTCGAGAGACGAAAGATAAGAGAAGATCGTCATCGAATCGTCCAAAGCGCGTCGACCGATTAAACTGATAGCTTTTTACCGTGAATTTATAATTCCGGCTGTGACCCGAGGGAATTTCGCGCGGAATAACATAAATTTACACCATGGGGAATGGCATGAATAAGGTGAGTAACGATTTTACAGACAAGTTGCGTTTCAATTGATATTTTCTGTCACCATTTCTGTCATCTATGCGAATCATAAATGCTATTAAGATACAAATAATAGGAGAGGAATGTGGTTAAAATCATACAAACATCATATATATTTGTGATATGCGATAATAATTTTCCAAGAGCATAGTTATGTTAATATTTTAATGATGAAATAGTATTTGACATTTTGCTTATTGCGTGCCTTAACCTGTATTGAAAAATATGCTAACGATACACGTGCTCCTACATCTTATTTTGTGATTATTATGTATGTGCATATTGTAAAATCATTATACCGTCGCCTCTAATTTTATCTGTCCTAGATACCAAAAATTCAAGATATCTTTTCCCTTGTGTACGTATATCTTGTTCGTTATATTTAACAAATTTCTATTTTTATTTTATATGTCGCGTTGATGATATGTAGAACTAGTAAACCAGGTAAAATGACTCTTACCGAGGCAAGAACACGATTACTTACGAAAATCACGGGATTCGTATTTTTCATATTCTACAGAGGGACGGTTTTTAAATTTAACATATTGTCAATTAATTTTATATTACCTTTCCTTATCTTACCAATTTCTCTCCTCTACCCTTTTACCTTTGTATCTTCTTAACATAAATACTCCCTTCTCATCATCAAGTAACATAAAAAATAATAGACTTATCATGTTTCTAATTAGCCATATATAACTGTAACATATTTAGATGACAGGTCTACTATTATGTCCTGATGCAATACATATATGTATATAATCGTCGCGTTAGCTAATTATACAGTTTAACTAGCTCATCGAACA